ATAGTCTCTCGAGACTGAAGGATGCCTACGTGAATCTAATTTTATTAGTCCTTTTTTTCCATCAGCATTGTATGCCACATCTTATTCATAAATGCGTGCAATGAGAGATCTTCGGCCTATCTCCAATTTCTAGCAATCTATAAGATTTGCTACTAATTCTTTATTTTCCAAGTTTCTCATTTCCCCCTGTAAATACTGAGAATAACAATAACGTTTCATAGACAATTCTATTTTTTTGATTAGTCAGCGTCTCTAACCATCTAATTACTGCACACCTGACTGCTTCTATTTTGGGGCAAGATAGCCACATGTGTTCCAAAGTTCCTTTTTCGTCCACAATTCCTCCAGCATTTATCTGATGTACGTATCTTTATTAATTCAGCCAAAGAACTGGAGGCTCCAAGGAGCAGGGAAAGGTGTGGCCAGGCGGCGAGACACCCTACTGATCACAACAAGGGCAAGTTCCACGCCAACGGGGCAGGCACCAGAGGGGGAACTTTATGCTCTTCGTCGTCCGGGGCAAAGACCATTAGGAGTGGAAGCGAATCAAGGAGGAACTACTCCACTTTCCAGTTTTCCGTTGTGGCTGACCAGCAGCTCCCAATTGGACTATGACAGATCCCTCTCTCCCTGCCATGGCGCTCATCCTGGAAAGAACTGGACCAGTGGCCACAATAGCTGGACCTCTACAGACACACCTGCCTGGCCTTCAAAGCTGTTCCAGAGGTTATCCTCTGTCACATCATTACGGCAAACGACCGTTCTAAAGACATGGCTTTCTGGGCTCCACATAATGTGGCTAGCCTCCGTTAAGGGCAACATTGGGGGTCTTATTCCCAGAGAGCACAGTATCTGGCCCCATAACTCAACACTATGAGCTCAACTTTGAATTCATGTGAAGGTTGTTTGGGTAGATTTATTGCTGTCTTGCACAGTGAAGAAAAGGCTGGAGGAACAGACCTCAAAGGAAAGGAAAAAGCCAGGGCTTCTGCAGTTAGATAAAATCCTTCTTGAAGGTCTTTAACAGCCCCACGTGTTGAGAAGTCACCAGTGGAAGCCATTGTTTCCATGGCCCCCAAATCTCGCTATAGTCTGATTCTGTTGCTACCTTTTCTTAACCTCAGGGCCTAGCCATTCCCCCCCCCCAAGATCCACAGAAGTACCACCTAGAGTTGCTAGGCAACCGTCCCAAAAGATGCAGCTTTCCACAGTTACCTGTCGGAAGATGAAATCAGACTACCGTATTTTTTGCTCCATAAGACACACTTTCCCCCCCCCAAATGTAGGGGGGAAAGTCCGTGCGTCTTATGGACCGAAGGCAGCAATTTCGTCGCCACTGGCCCCGTGGGGGGGAGCATCGCAAGGGTCCGGGTGAGCCTTCCAGGACCCTTGCGAGGCTCCCCCACCCCCCCCCCCCACGGGGCCAGCGCCGGCGAAATCGCCAGCTTCCAGGTGGGAGGAGCGTGGCAAGGGTCCTGGAAAGCTCACTCAGACCCTTGCGACGCTCCTCCCACCCCCGCACGGGGCCAGCACCTCCGAAATTGCCTCCAAACACTCCCAGAAGCTGGTGATTTTACCCCCCTGGCCCCTTGGGGGGTGTGGGGGAAGCATGGCAAGGGTCTGAGGGAGCCTTCCAGGACCCTTGCCATGCTCC